GGCGTAACATCGGTAGCAAGTACCTCAAGTTGTACACCAGTCTTCCATCATCTCAACATGTCCCTTATGTGTCTGTGTGTGTGCGCTCTGTATTACTCATATCCTCTATTATCATCTACAACAATCTGCAATATCCTACTTAACGTAACTGGTTTCCTGTGGTAAACTTGTTAAAGGGACAGTTCACCCAAAAATGAAAATTCTGTCATTCATTACTCACCCTCATGTGGTTCCAAACCGTAAGATCTTCGTCCATCTTCAGAAAACAAATTACGATATTTTTGATTAAATCCGAGAGCTTGTCCAATGGAACTGAAATGTTCCCAGGCCCAGAAACGTAGTAAAATAGTCCATGTGACATCAGTAGTTCAACCGTAATATTAGAAGCTACTTTTTGTGCTCAAAGAAACCAAAAATGACTTTATTCAACAATTCTTCTCCCCGCGCCACCATTATTAAGAGTAACACAACTCATGCGTGTGCATTCCTCTACTCGTAAACAAGGCGCAGCACATGCGTGTTCTACGTCAGCAGAAGCACACGCATGAATCGTCGTACTCTCCCAATTAAAGCAGATTGTTTCAAAGCAGCTTTATGGTGACAAACAAGAAAATAGTGATTCAGTGATGCGAACAGAATTAAATTCTGCTGTAAATCAGCTCTAAAAGACAATAGTAAACATTCACTGTTCAGCTGAAATCAGGTCATTGTTGATTCAGTTCGGTTCAATAACTGTGTAAAGTCCATCAATTACGGAATGAGTTTAATTAATATATAAAGCAGCTCTGGAGAAAACAGTAATGTCATCGTCCAGCTCAGTTCAGCTCGCTTCCAATATTGTCTGTGCAATCAGTCAAGCGTCAATTATTCAACCAGATAAAATGCAGACTTTCAGTCGACTAAAACTTAGCAAAATAAGATAAGGTTGACAATATATGCCAAAAACAAGGACATTTAACACAGGACTAAGATTGAAAATAGCTGACAAAATTAACACTACATCAGCCAATCAAAATTTGCCAATTTTAGCCAATCAAATCTAAGAAGGTGGGCTTTACTGTTCACAGACGCTGAGCTGAGCGGCATTTGAATGCGGAATGGCATAAGATGATGTAGGCTAAACAGCTAAACATGATGAGACAATTTAGCAATATTTGCCAACTGTTTTCAAAAAATGTTAAACGACACACATTAATTTTCAGGGATGCAAACTACTACTGGTCTTTTCGAATTTCTCAGATTTTAATGCCATTTACATTATTGTCCACAGTGTACAGAAACATTAGCATAGCCGTTTTCAGCAGACATAAAATAACAGTGAATGTTTGTATATAGTTATATTTCTTCCATAATTTCACGTGTCTAAGAAAATGTTTTAAAAAACTGTGAAAATGTAATTCTCAAACTTACTCTAGAACATTGTAAATCTGCAGACTTTCGCTTTCAAGTGCCGTGATTAGGAAAGTTCTTAATAAGATATTTTAATGTACATATTTTAATGGTTTAACATTTAAATGTAATTTGTTTTTTCTGTGATCAAAGCTGTATTTTCAGCATCATTACTCCAGTCTTCAGTGTCACATGATCCTTCAGAAATCATTCTAATATGCTGATTTGCTGCTTAATTATTTTCAATTATTATTTGTGCTCAGTTATTAATAATGGTTCTAATTATTATCAATACTTAAAACTGTTTTTGGTTCTTAATATTTTTGTGGAAACTGTGACACTTTAACTTTTTCAGGATTATTTGTTGAATACAAAGTTAAAGAACGGCATTTTTATATATAAATAATTTGTAATAAGTATATCTTTACTGTCAATTAAATCAATTTAATGCAATCTTGTCGAATAAAATATGGATTTTTAAAAATCTTACTCCAGACTGAATGGTGATGTATCACATTTTCCACAAAATATGAAGCAGCACAACTGTTTTCAACATTTTATAATAATCAGAAATGTTTCTCTCAGAAATGATTTCTGAAGATCATGTGACACTGAAGACTGGAGTAATTATGCTGGAAAATTCAGCTTTGATCACAGAAATAAATTATTTTTTTGCTATATATTTGCATATAACACAGCTATTCAAAATTGTAACTTTATATATTTCACATATTACAGTTTACTGTATTTTTCATCATCATAAAATTCTTCATCATGTACAAAAAAAGCAACAACAACAAAACTCTTGTCAAGCAATTGAAAGGCACAATAAAAACAGTCCACATTCTGCACTACATTCCAAGTCTTCTAGAGCAGAGCATTGTCATATGGACTGATATTATGGTAGGCATTTAACTTTAGGGATATTAAACTGTCCCTCTATGTAAAATAGATGTGTAAAATATTATTTACAAATTGCCATATACACCAGGAAAGACAAATTAAAATGTAAAGAAGTATGACAGTCATTCATTAATGTTAATGATAATAATTCTTTTTTTAAAAAGCATTTTTATTTCTGTATTGTGTAATATTTGTATGTTAGTAAGTGGTGTTAAAAATAGCTCTAATAAGCTGGTGGGTTTATGGCAGTGGTCTCAAACTCAATTCCTCTAATAAGCTGGTTTATGGCAGTGGTCTCAAACTCAATTCCTGGAGGGCCACAGCTCTGCAGAGTTTAGCTCCAAATCACACCTGCTTGGAAGTTTCTAGTGATCCTGAAGAGTTTGATTAGCTGGATCAGGTGTGTTTGATTAGGGTTGGAGGAGCAAAACTGTGCAGAGCTGTGGCCCTCCAGGAATTGAGTTTGAGACCAGTGGTTTATGGTGTGGTGGGCCGCTCTGTGCCTAAAAGTCCAGGGCCACTTTTTAGCCCCAGTGCGCCCCTGTCTCCAGCACTGCTCTTGCTCCGCCGACTCCATCCTAGTCTCTAGCTCTGTTGGCTCCACTGTGGTGTTCTCCAGGTTATAAAGTCTACTGGGACAAAGGAAAACTCCTCAAATCTGGCCCACGAGATCCACTTTCCTGCAGAGTTTAGCGCCAACCCTGATCAAACTCACCTACCTGTGATTTTCTAATGATCCTGAAGACATTTATTTAGCATGCTCAGGTGTGTTTGATTAGGGTTAGAGCTAAACTCTGCAGGAAAGTGGATCTCGTGGGCCAGATTTGAGGATCCCTGTTTTTGCGAAACCTTTTTATTTTTTAGCATCACTGATCTTGATTTGGCTGGTTTGAAATGCATCCGGGCCCTCTATCCCCCGAAGAATCCACCGGCATCCTGGGATTGATTCTGTGTTGACTGTGAAGTCATCCATAAATGCCCTGATGGGTGGTTGTCATAAGGCAGAATTTGTCTGAAACTTTGTATTATGAGCCTTCCTGTGTTTATTTGCCTCTTTATGATGAACCGTGTGTTGTATTCCTCAATTGTAAGTCGCTTTGGATAAAAGCATCTGCTAAATGAATAAATGTAAATGTAAATTTGTTCTCTGACTTTTCCCCTTCTCCAGAAGATTCACAGAATCTTTCACAGACGCAGCAGCAGTTTAGTGCAGTTCTTATTCACTTTGTGTGAGGTGCTAGTTGGTCCAGGTGCACAGTCTGCCTCTCTGACTCCCTTTAGCTGCAGCTCTGACAAGTCAAACTGTCCATCTGTACAATCTGGTTTATTGTAGATTATATGACTGATAATTATAGTCACTGTTTGAGTTGACCGTAATGTTAAAGTCATAGTTCACCCAAACATTATGGATTACTTGTGGATTATTGTGATGTTTTTATCAGCTGTTTGGACTCTCATTCTGACGGCACCCATTCACTGCAGAGCATCCATTGCTGAGACACTGATGCAATGCTTCATTTCTCCAAATCTGATGAAGAAACAAACTCTTCTACATTCTTTACATTGTGTTTTTTTAATGTATTTTGTCTTATTTTGTATAATTACCTGTACATGTGCAGGACACTTTATTAACACACAGGTTAATAAATACATTCATTTGTTTTATAGTTGTGAAAAAGCACTTCTAGGAACCATTTTCATGCTCTCTGATGCTATTTGAATAAAGAGACTCATATTGCAGCAAAATCACAATGTAAATCAGTCTCAGCATCTTACGTACAGTATAAACAAAAGACTTTGCATAATGCAATGTATAAAGAGTTGGGTAGATAGTAAAAGACAAGTAAAGGGAATATAAGAGAATAAACTTAATAACCTGGTGGAAAGATCAACCTTCAGTCGGTCCAGAGCAGGTAATTTTACTTATTTATTGTGATTGACTTTAATGTGAAGGTCTTAGAGCACTATTGTTTTTTTGTTTTTGTTTTTTTTGCATCTGTAATTCACATTTTTACAATGTAATACTGTTTCTTTATATTATTAATAATAATAAACAAATAATAAACACATTTCAGAACGACATGAAAAAAAAAAACTAATGATCATATAAAAAAAATCCACATACTTTAATTTAATTTTAATTCAGCTGCTGCTTTAAATTTTTAAATATAATAACATTAGCTGTATAAGTCAGTTCAACTTTAATTATATTAAACTGACTAAAAAATAGTTGACTCTTGTATAACTTAAAAAAATGAAGCTGAAATTGGTTGAATTAATTTGATATTTTTATGTTATGTTATTTATATGATACATTAAAGAAATGGGAAAACATGTTGCCATAACTTATTGATCATATAATTTTTACAGTGTACTTGACCAATTAAAAATATTTTTGTTGCTGAAACTGGTGAATTATCATATCAAATACGTTTTGTTAAGCTGTCAGCATATGAAATTTATGAACACCTGAGAGTGTTGAAAATTTGAGAATAGCAAAAAGACTGAAAATGACATGAATAAAATCTCATGATCATGTTCTCCAGTGTGAAAAAAATGATGCTAAAATTCATGCATTTAGTCATTAAACTCTTTGAAATGTTTGAGCGATGTCTGAAAATGACTGGACTTTCAATAGCACAGAACTAAGTAACATGTCGGTATTCTTGTGATTTCTTTCTTTCAGTGAACAAACCTGTGAAGACGAGATGATGCAGAACAAGATTCAACTTGTTGTTTTGCTCGGTGAGTGTCAGTGAAAGAAACTGACGTCAGATCAGAGGTTTAGAGAAACGTAACACTGTTGACTTTCCTGCAGCAGGAATCCTGTCGAAGGCTTCATGCGACCCATATCGATTCGTCCTGATCAAAGAACCGAAGACCTGGGCAGAAGCGCAATCGTACTGCAGGGAGAAACACACGGATCTGGCGACGGTTCAGAGCGATGAAGACAGAGCCAAACTAAAGGAGGTAGCAGATGCTGTGAGCTTCAGATCTTTCGCCTGGACCGGCTTCTACAAAGTTTTTTGGCGTTGGTCGCATCAAAACACGGTGATCAGCTATGAGAAGTGGGCTTTCCAGGAGCCGGACTTGTCCAAAACAAATGAGGCCTGTGCGTCTGTAAATAGAAACGGACGTTGGCGTGACACATCCTGTACTGAACAAAAACACTTCTTTTGCCAAACTGGTAAGACATTATACAAAACTTTTGTTCAGTTATAATCTAGATGTCTGGGAATTTTCTCGAAGGGTTTAATGCTCATAGTTTTCTTCGATTGAGCTTTATCCAATAAAACCTTATACACTGCAAAAAATCACTTACTCTGTATTTTGTCTTATTTTCCAGTACGAATATCTAAACATTCTCAAATCAAGACACATTTACTTGAGAAGCAAAATTAATACTTAAAAAAAAATCATCAGAATGGAGTTAGAAATAAAGAGAAAAGATTGTTTCTCACTCCACTGGCATGCATATACAGGTACATCTAAAAAAATTTGAATATCATGAAAAAGGTCAATATTTTTTGTCACTCATTTCAGAAAGTGAAACCCATATATTATATAGATTCATTACACACAGAGTGAAATATTTCAAGCCTTTATTTCTTTAAATTTTGATGATTATGGCTTACAGATAATGAAAACCCAAAATTCAGTGTCTCAGAAAATTAGAATATCACATAAGATCAAAAAAAAAAGGATATTTTAAACAGAAACGTCAGGCTTCTGAAAAGTATGTTCATTTCTATGCACTCAATACTTGGTTGGGCCTCCTTTTGCATGAATTACTGCATCAATGCGGCGTGGCATGGAGGCAATCAGCCTGTGGCACTGCTCAGGTGTAATGGAAGCCCAGGTTGCTTTGATAGCGGCCTTCAGGTCATCTGCATTGTTGGGTCTGGTGTCTCTCATCTTCCTCTTGACAATACCCCATAGATTCTCTATGGGGTTCAGGTCAGGCGAGTTTGCTGGCCAATCAAGCACAGTAACACCATGGTCACTGAACCAGCTTTTGGTACCTTTGGCAGTGTGGGCAGGTGATCAAAATTTCAAGAAATAAAGGCTTGAAATATTTCACTCGATGTGTAATGAATCTATATAATATATGGGTTTCACTTTCTGAAATGAGTGACAAAAAATATTTACCTTTTTCATGATATGGAATAATTGCCATTTTCTTTCATTTTTTAAATTTAAAATTTTAACTTCAGAAATTATCATTTGAATGAATAAAATCTAGCCGATTTTCTATAATACAGGTCACAATTTAACAAAAGCAAAACTGAAAAAGGAGAGAAAATGGAGAGGAGAGAAATTTTCCATTGATGGAGTAACTGAAAATAAATAAATAAATAAATAATGACACTCAAGCAGAAGTGAAACGCAGAAGCAAAAGATGCTTCTCTTATACTCCAGAGATTTATTAAATCAGACCATTCACAACAGGGTTATTATTATAAAAACTATATAGGCATTTAATAAAAACACAACACAATTACTAAACTTCACCTAAAATTAAAGTGAAAGCAGAAAATATAAAAATAAAATCCAACATAATCGAAAACATTAAATAACTAAACACTGCACAAAAAAAATAAAATAATTGTAAGCCATTTATTGAAGATGAGTTTGTTCATATTTTATATGAACAAACTTATACACTCTTATATTTAACTTTGTATGGCACTTCAAATTTTCAAGCATGTTTCTCTGTCCTGAACACAAATCTACTCCTTGCAGACGACAACACACTTCAGGACAAGTTTAGGTATTTTGAATGGGACATGAACTGGCATGCTGCTCAGAAGTACTGCAGATCAAACCATGTAGACCTGGCCACCGTTACAGACGACACAGAGAACACACACCTCGCATATGTGATTGAAAGAGAGTATGACTGGAATGCCTGGATCGGCCTGTCCAAGAAGCAGGGGCTGTGCCAGTGGCAGTGGTCGGATCAGACCAGCGTGTCGTCATCTGTGAAATGGGAGTCCGGGCAGCCTGATAACATAAACGGCACTGAAGAGTGCGCGACTGCAGATACCGACGGACAGATGGCTGACGACACCTGCTCGACCCGACTGCCTTTCTACTGCCGTGAAAACACAAAAATACAGCGTGTGAGATTCGCAGTGAAATCAGACGGATCTCTGGACGAATCCACAGTGATGGAGGCCATAGAGAAGAAGGTGAGATGCTGCTGCATGTTATTTTAATATCATTAACATGCTAATTATATATATATATATATATATATATATATATATATATATATAAGAGAGATATG